TTTGAAAATTATTTAGAAATATGTGAAGGGAGAGAAAGGGAAAAGTGTGTATTCAAGAGAGAACATGGGTTTCTATAGAGTAGAAATAGGTAAGTAGAGAACATCAAGATAAGCATGGAAAATATGCATTATTTCTTAAGTAGGAAGACTAATAAGGATCAATTAACCTTACAAAAAGCATGTTTTTAAGTCTACGCAATTTGAGCCAGAATGGTTTTATTAAAAATAGAATAGATGCTCTCTAATGACAGTATCAGGAAACTGAATAAAATAGCAAGAAAAACATCTTCTTAGAAGTAATGAATCATTCTTAGAATGAAGAAATTATTTTCTCTTGAGTGTTTTTTCTTCAGTTCTCTAAATTGAGTCACTGTTTTCTCAGAACAAACCCAGAACTATTAATACAGTCAATACCCCTGAAATTTAAGTAGACTTTAAAATTGTTTCATAAACAAAGTGATTTCAATATTTATTTAAGAAAATTTAAAATACCCAAATATGGCAAAGAGAATCCCAGCTTATAAAACTCTAAAATGTTTAGCAGTGATATACAAATGAAGGATTAAACCAAATGTGTATATAATATATTTAGAAATAAACAAAGGAAGATTCTCAGGATAAACTTCACAATATGTTCAAACTTTCATTATACCATCATTTCATAAAAATGTAAAACAAATAAATAAATAAGTTGGAGATGTATTATCGTAATATGGGCTGAAAAAGGCAAAGTGTAAAGAATTGTAATTTCTACCTTCAGAATTTCAGAAATTTTTCTTTTTGGTGCTATTGAGTTAAAAATGCACACAACATAAAATTTATAATTTTTCTATTTTTCAATGTTCTAGTTTAGCAGTATTAAGGGCATTCAATTGGTCCTGATTAAAAGAAATAGAAAAAACTTATAAATGGAAAAAATCATGTTTTTATTAAAATAACTAATGTTGGTAAAATGGCCAACCTCTTAAGCATAACAAAGATTTAATGCAGTCCCTATGAAAATTCCAGTGAAATTCTTCAAGGATCACAGAACAAATATTAGTAAAATTTGTGTTAAACCATAAGATTCCCAGAAGAGTCAAGGAAATCTTGGAGAAAAATAACACAGGCATTGTATTCACTGACTTTAAAGTATATCATATGCTTTATCATAATTTTATCATAAAGTTATAGTAATCAAAACTTTATAACAGTGAAGCAAAAGCAGACTTTTAGACCAATAGAATAGAATTGTAATCTTAGAAGTAAACCCTTTGATATGTAGAAAGTTCATAACGAGTGAACAGCATACACATAGAGTGGAGGAAAGAAAACCTCTCAAAAAATGGTGTTGACAAAGCTAGTTAGTTACATACCAAATCATGAAGTTGAACCACAACCTCATACAATAAAAGGTAAAGGTAAAGGTAAAGGCCCTCCCGTTGATCGTCGATTTGCTCGAGCGGGCCCAGTAACGTCTCCATTGGAGACTTTGTTGTTACTGTGTCTGGCATATCGAATACTCTCAGTAGCTTGCCGGGCTCTCCGAGAGGGGCGGAGGAATCGAACTCGGACAAAATTAAATTCAAAACCCTTGATGTTATACCTAAATCCATAAAATACAGAGAAGAAAACATAGGAAGATTTTTTTCTTGATATTGACTTCAGAGGTATCTTCAATGATCAAACTCCATTGTGTTTGACAGAAAAATTAATAGGACTATGTCAAACTAAAGTCTTCTGCACTGTAAAAGCAACCATGACTAAAATGAGAAGACACCTTATTTTATGTGAAAAATTATTTGCAAACCAAGCATCTGACAGAGGACTAATATCAAATATATATACTTACAAAACAACAAAAAGAAAACCCCATCAAAAAACAAAAGGAACTGAATAGACACTTCTTCAAAGAAGACATATAGACAGACAACAGAAAATTGGAAAAATGTTTGTCACCATTGATTATTAAGTAAGTGCAAATCATAAAAACAACGAGATGCTATGTTAAAATGAGAATTATCAGTATACAAAAGGCCACAAATAAGTCTTGGCAAGGATATGGAGAGAACTTTAGTACATTCTTGGTGTGAACACAAATTAGTGCAGCATTTATGGAATATGGTATGGAGATTATTTGTAGAAATAGACTACCAAGGAGGTAATTCAAAAGGTTTAGTACCCATATTTAACATACAGGGTACCCCAGAGCGTGCAGAAGTGTTAGGTGCTCTTCAAAAGTGTTAGGGATAGCTCCAAAGTAGGTTAAATGTGGCAGAAAAACCCACAACCCCATAAAAAAGAATACAATAGTATATCAAGTAGTACTACTCCACACAGAGGATATGAACACATTATTAAAGAACATATCTGCACTCCTATGTTTATAAGAGCATTATTTATAATAGCCCAAACATGAAATCTCTCTAAAGCCAGCTGCAGATAGATGATAACCGATGAGGAAGGCTTTGGGATACACACTCAATAGAACACAGCTGTGCCATTGAAAAAAAATTCAAGGGTGTCTTTTTAAAAATATTTGTTTAGTCACACCCAGAGGTGTGGCTTGCCCCTGGCTCACTCCTGGTTCTGCGCTCAGGTATTACTCTTGGACTAGAGGGACCTTGTGGGATGTTGGGGATTGAACCCAGCTGGGCTGCGGGCAAGGCAAGCACCTGTCCAGTATGTCTGGTGGGAAAGTGTGCCTTTGGGAACACAATGGATGAATCTTAAGGTGACTATGAGAAGTGAAACAGTAAGGAAATGAAAAATGCTCACCAGATGGTTTCACTCATAAGTGTGTGATAAACAAAGAAATTAAACTGGTGGAGGAAAAAAGAACCCTCACTTCTAGAGTCAGTAGTTTTGTGACCAAAACATTGTGGTTATGGTGACAGAGGAGGAAGAGAGGGTGTGAGGAACGTTACAGAAGACAACACTAAAACTTTGGTGGTGGGTGCTTGAGTTTTAAACACATTCAGAGGGAAAAAAATTATCCCACTGTTTGCCTTGCGCTTGGCCAATCCAGGTTCGGTCTTGGCTTTCCATAAAGTCCCTTAGGCACTGCCAGGAGTAATTCTTTACTGCAAAGCCAGGAATAAGCCCTGAACACCAACAGATGTGGCCCCCAAACCTATATAAATAAATAACAAAATAAACAAAATGACACCCTGAAATCCTATTATACTATAGGATCCAGAGAGAATATAGTGGGTAGACACTTGCATTGCATGCATCTACCCTTGGTTTGGTCCCCAGAACCACATATAATCCCCTGAACTCCACCAAGAATGATACCTGAGCAGAGATTAAGGAGTAAGCCCTGACCAGTGGGGTGTAGCCCAAACACCAAAAACAAAACAAAAAAACAACAAAACCCAAAACATACTAACTGATGATAATATTTTTCAAAACTTACCTCAAATCTTTGAGTCTTCATGGGTCCTGGAATTTCAAAGATTTAAATGGAAAGTCCATTAATGGAGTAAAAGAGGACTCAGCACTGCACTACCAGAGTGACCCTTTTGGTTCCCAGTACTTCAGTGACTGAGCAATCCCACACCTCAGGCCCTAGCATTGAAACCAAGGCCACATATCTCCAAGACTCCAAGAATAGCCACAGACTTCCTGAACACTGCTTCAAAACTACAAGTCATTACCCTAGCAGTAGGTGGAAAATTAACTAAACTTAAGGTAGAAACTATCACTTACCCTAGTTGAGCAGAAGTGCATTGACACTGATGGAAATGTTCTTTTAAATCCAAACTGTGACTGACTATCACATGTAAAAGTTAACTGTTCTAGTAGCATCTAAAAATATACAAAAATAGACCTAAAGCAGTTAGTTACTTGTGCCAATTCTTAATAGCAAGCCTTAATTGCCGTCTGCCAAAAAAACATAATTTTAAATGAGTCAGTCTGGAATTTCCTGGTCAACATTGGTGAGATAATGTGTATTACAACCCTCTGAGATCCATTACAATCCCTGACTTCCCCTAAGGAAGGGGGCTTTGCCTGAAATAACATTCTAATTTGTTTTAGACTGGTGGTATTCAACGTTTAATACTTTACCAAGGCACTTATTCCAGACCAGTTGTGGAAAACCACTGTCAGCTAAATTGCAACCTTTTTTTAGAGCAGTGTTTCTCAACTGGGGACCCTAGGTCTGCTCTGAGAGCCCCCAAGATCTTCCAAGGGAGCACATGTGAAAACCACTTAATCGGGAAGAGGTGTTGTAGGAAATTAGGGAACCAACTGCTAGATTAGGAGAGGGGTGAAAGAACCCTAATATTGAGAAACACTATTTCTTAGCTTTCTTCCCTTCTTCCTGCAAGTCGGAATGCTGTTGAATTCACGTATCGCTTGCAAAATCCATTCTATCTTCACATTTATTGGGGTTAATTCTGTTCTTTCCTTCTTCCTTTCTTTGAACAGCGTGACAGTAAAACACTCCTACTGATGAAGACTCCAGAGGATTCTAGTACATGCATCTGAGAAAGGGCACCACAGTTCACTGTTTTGTTTAGTTTTAGTCATTTTCTCCAACTAAGGTCTTGCTAGCCAGAGAAGCCAGTGCGTTCTGTTGTGGCATGCCATTGGCTTTGCTGAGAGAATCTGACATTCCCAGTAAACATAGCAACAGCACAAACCTACTATTCTACTTTTATTCTTCCCCTCTCTTTGCCGCTTGCTGTATTTCTCTCCAAGCTATCATTGCTTGATGCTACTATCTGAAAAAAAATTAAAAAAATGTTTTCCATTCATCCTTTTCCTGCCTTGCTTCACCCCCGCCAGATCAATTTTCCTCCTACCCTTTCCAAAACTCCTTGTTCCAGAAGTGCTCACTCCCTTCTGCTTGCCCTGAAATTTCCCAGTTTCGTGAACTCATTCTGGCAGCTGTCCATTCCGACCAGTCTCCTGTTCACCTTGAATGCCCTAGTCCGGTTCTAAACTCCTCCCTGCACAGATCCAAGGTCCACCCCCTTTGTCTTCCTTCGCAGAAAGTTCTCTCCCAGCCTTTCCCAGGTACAGTTAGTTACTGCCTACGATTCTCCCAGTGTCTGCAGATTTCTGTGGTTAGATCCCTCAGGCTGATTCCTCCCTGTGACCTGCGAGACTCCATTGCAGGTGAGTCTCCCAAAACCTCATTGTTATTGGGCTGCATGCAGCGTTAGTTGATCTATTTAACAAATTGTTTCTTCCCGAAGGGTCTTAACCCGGAATGCCCTGTTGAGGTGTTTCAGAAAACACACCCACCTTTCCTCTCAACATTTGGATTTAATCGCTCTAGGCAGGATTTGAATATGGTTATCAGCCAGCCCCTCAGAAAAGTCTGCTGCTTATGTGTTCAAGTTTGGCAATTGTTAGAAAAACTTAAGCTTAGTAAATGTTCTGCTTGCTTCACTCATTTCAGAAGAGGTATGCATTTACCTGGAATCTTTTGACGGTGAGGAATATATATCCTTAGGAAGCCTTCAAGCTCCTAACTCATAGTCCTTGTTTATTCCCAGCAAGATATCAGAAACAGAATGTACCTTCGGAATTCCTGAGGAATTTGGCAGTGTTTCAGTGTCTTGAAAAATGCCCAAAAGGATTTCATTAAAAAATAAAAAACACCGTCGAAGGACTTCGGCTGAAAAGGAACCCAAGGTGATAGCATAATATTAAATCACAACTGTGGGTGAATGATTAACTGGTCTGGAAACTGGAGTAATACTTTTGCAGCCTAACTAAGTTTTCTATGCACAGGAAATGGCTATATTTTCTTTTCTAGCTTTGCTAATTAGAAGTTGGAGATTGCTTTCGAAGTCTTCTGGGCAGAAAGGATGATTTTACAAGTGAGGAAATTGAGGCCAAGAGATATAGTGGTTTAATGAAATTCCCACAATTAAATAAAAGAGGAAGGCGGAAAACCCAATAATTTTTCAGGGTTTGAAATTTATTTCAACACAGCCACTTCTACCCATCAGCATTCTGTTTTGAAATTCCTCTAGAATCTATCAGTGTGCAAACCGCCTTTGAAATGGCGGTTGTCAAAGTCCCAAAAGAAGTGAGATTTTGTGGAGTAAAATAACACTTGTTATAGGCCAATTATTGGTGTTTGGTATTAAGATCAAAAACATGGGTTTTGAAAAGCAAGTGAAGGTTAGTGATTAACCTTGGATCTGGCACATAATAATAGTAAAAATAAAAGTCGCAGTTATTATTAATGATTAGGTTTTATATAATTATCACATTATATAAGAAAAATGCCAATAAAAAATAAAAGAAAAATGCCAATGAAGCCCTCAACTATTTTCTTTCTAATCAGTGAGAAAAAAGATGTTTCATATATTGTAGCTGTTGCATTGTTTAGAGACAAACTTTTTTTTAAATGTGTATTTGGATTTTTTCCATAAAAACTCCAACTTTCACTAGATTTTTATTGAAATATTATTGCATATAACATAATATAGGTTTTATATCTGCATAATTGAAAATTAAATCATGTGGGGGCTGGAGCAATAGCACAGCGGGTAGGGCGTTTGCCTTGCACGCAGCCAGCATGACCGACACAGGTTCAATTCCCAGCATCCCATATGGTCCCCTGAGCACCGCCAGGAGTAACTCCTAAGTGCAGAGCCAGGAGTAACCCCTGTGCACTGCCAGGTGTGACCCAAAAAGAAAAAAAAAAATTAAATCATGTGTCTTGCTTGTTCTGAAATCTACCCACTGCTTCCAGCCTTTAGAGATGATTCTCCTTTCTTGACTCATTATAGTAACTAATTGGGATTAGAGCACAAATATTCATTATTATTTTGTTTAATCAATTTATTTTTAATTTTTAAATCTATAAACCCATATAAGTGGAATCATAGGCTTGCCTTTTTACACTAGAGTTTATTTCAATTAGCTCAATGACCCCGAGGTCCACACATGTTATTGTTATGTTATGGCAGGATTTCATTTTGATAACCAAATAGTATTCTTTTTATACACTCAGCAGTTGACAGTAATTCAGGATGTTAACATTTCTTGACTATTATAAGTGCCTTGGTAATCATGGGTCCCAAATATCTTTTTGAATTAGCATTTTTGTATTTGGGTGTGAACACCTAAAAGTGAAACTAACTGGAACACAAAGAATTTCAACTTTAGGTTTTTGAGAAATCTATTTCTGTTTTCACTTGCTCGGCCAGTGGCGTGGCATCTTTGAAGATACCATTAGCTTCAATGTCATGGAGGGTTTTGCCAACTTTCTCTTCAATGTACCTTATGGTTTCTGGTCTGATGTTGAGGTCTTTAATCCATTTTTATCTTACTTTTGTACATGGTGTTAGGCAGAGTTCTGAGCCTATTTTTTTGCATGTAGCCGTCCAGTGATGCCAACACAATTTATTAAAGAGGCTTTCCTTACTCCACTTCACATTACTTGCACCTTTATCAAAGATTAGATGAGCATATGATTGAGGGAGATGTCAGTGTATTCAACCCTGTTTCATTGGTCTGCAGTTCTGCCTTTGTTCCAGTACCATGCTGTTTTAATTATTACTGCTTTGTAGTACAGTTTGAAGTTCGGGAGGTTGATTCCTCCCATATCTCCATCCTGATGGCACAAATTCACTTTCCCACCAGCAATATTCTTAGGGCTTCCCTTCTCTCCAGATCCTCTTTAATTTATTTTGTTCTTTCCTTTTGGTTAGTAACTTTATTTTCATAGATAGGGAATGATGTCTCATTATTTGGTTTGTATGTACCCAATAATAAGAGATGATCAGTATCCTTCCATGTGCCATTTGGATGTCTTATGTCTTCTTTGGAGAAATATATATTTAGATATTCACTTTTTCTGGGAGCACTGGTGCATGGAGGGGATCTGGGTGCCATCTGCATCAGTGCTGCACCAACTGGACCACGTGCTCCATGCTGCAACATGACAGTGAGGAGCTTCTTAGGCATAGTGCTACAGTCAAGTGGCAAACTATCAGTGATGTAAAAGGAAACTGGCCAAGATGTTTCTGAGATGCTGCAACCAATAGACGTGGGAAGGGAAGCTTAAGGTCAATAAGCACAGCAGCTTGGAGTTGACCAGGAACAGAGTAGAACAAAACCAGTTAGAACCTGACAATCCCCCTGTACCTGTGTTCCACTACTTATTTGGTGAGTGGGGGAGGTGGGATGCTCCAGTCCTGGGTACTCTTACTGGTGCTCAGCCAATCAGGTCAGATGGATGCTGGAAGATAACAGGGCCATCCTCATAGTGCAAAGGGATCTTTAGTGCTACACTGGCAGTGTTGGGGGATGCAGGGGTGGGGGAGGACAGGACATGCAGTGTGGAGGAGGATGGAACTCAGATCCTTGCACTTGCGAGGCATGAGCCCCAATTTTTGAGACATCTTCCTGGTTTTCCATCATTTCTAACTTTCTGTTTTCAATTACTTTTGTGCCCTAAGAGTTTTTGTATATTTTGGACAAATGATGGGCAAGTATTTTTTACCAGTTGTTGGATAAATGATGTGCAAGTATTTTTAAATAGTCCATGGAATATATTTTTATTTTGAGGCAATTTTCTATTGGTATGCAGAAGTTATTGTAATCTCATCTTTGCTTTTGTTTTAATTATGAGTGGAATGAAGTCTCCAAACACAACTCTAAGACTGATATCAGGGAACATATTACAAGCATTCTCTTTGTATTTTATGACTTTTTTATGTAGGAGTACTGCTATTTATTCAGCCACTGATTAGCTGATTGAATTGGGCATGAACTCCACCTTAATTTTTTATAATTTTATTTATTGAATCACCGTGAGAGCAGTTACAAAGCTATTGGGTTTAAATCTCAGTCATACAATGAAACACCCGTACCTTCACCAGTGCCCATACTCCACTCCAAAAAACCTCAGTATACCCACATCCTACACCCTCCCCTTAACTAAGAGGCAGATGATTTCCACATTAGTCTCTCTCTATTTTGATTACATTCAAGATTTTGACACAAGACCCACCATTATTATTTGGGATTTTATCCCAACACTCAGATCTGCTGAAAAGGCAACAATAGACAATTTGTTTTGTATTGCTGGTTATGAATAACATATGATGTTGTGTGGCTGCAGTAGTGACTGTGCGATTTTGAAATTTCAAAATTTTAACAATTAAATCTGGAGGGATTTCTGCCAAAACCTGCTGGGTTCCGAGATTTGTTCCTGAGTCTCTAGGATCATGGCTGTTAAGCAGCTTGATTACGAGCCAGAAAGGCCATTCATGGGCGGCGAATCGGGGTCTAGTTGGGACAGGGAGGAAAGGGCCAGCTATATCCCCATCCATGTGTCTCATCACTGAGGGCCCAAACCTGACTTCAATGGCCTCTGGAGGATGGTGGTCACCGAGCCTCCTAGAGGGAGCAGGTGGAGGGACAGTACCCTTTTCCCCCTGGAATGGCCTGACAACAGTAACCTACTGGAGGTCCAATGCATTTCTGCCAAAAGCCACTAGGTTCCGATCTGAGTCTCTGGGATCATGACCGTTATGCAGCTTGATCAGGAGCCAGAGAGGCCATTCATGGATAGCAACTCGGGGTCTTTTTGGGACAGGGAGAAAAGAGTCAGCTCCACTCCCATCCGGTGAAGCCCCACATGTCTCGTCACTGTGGGCCCAAACCTGACTGTCCAGTGGCCTCTGGAGGATGGTGGCCACCGGGTTAGCAGGGCGAACAGGCCAAGGCGCAAAACCTATTCCCACCTGGGGTAGCCAGCAACCTACTGCAGGAACTGGACACATTTCTGCCAAAAGCCGCTGGCTTCTGCGATTTGTTTCTGAGTCTCTGGGGTCATGGCCATTTAATGGCTTGATCAGAAGCCACAGAAGCTTTTCTTTGATGGCGACTCGGGGTCTCATTGGGATGGGAGGGAAAGGGCCAGCTCCACACCCATGAGGCCCCACGTGTCTCATCATTGCAGGCCCAAACCTGACCATCCAATGTCCTCTGGCAGATGGTGGCCACCGAACTGCCTAGGACAAGCAGGCAGAGGGACAGCACCTTTCCTCACTGGGGTGACCCGGCGACACTAACCTACTGTGCGGTCCAGACGCATTTCTGCCAAAAGCCCCTGGATTTTGAGATTTATTTCTGAGTCTCAGGGATCATGGCCGTTAAGCAGATTGATCAGGAGCCAGAGAGGTCATTTGTTGGCGGTGACTCAGGGTCTCGTTGGGATGGGAGGGAAAGGGCCGGCTCCACACTCATCCCATGAGGCCCCGCGTGTCTTGTTACTGCAGGCCAAATCTGAGTGTCCAACGGCCTCTGGCAGATGGTGGCCACCGAGCCATCAAGGGGGAGCAGGTAGAGGGACAGCACCCTTTCCCCCCTGGAGTGGCCCGGCAACAGTAACCTACTGCGGGTCTGGATGCATTTCTGCCAAAAGCCGCTGGGTTTCGAGATTTGTTTCTGAGTCTCAGGGATCATGGCCATTAAGCAGCTTGATCAGGAGCCAGAGAAGCTGTTCATGGGCCACGGCTTGGTGTCTCGTTGGAATGGGGAGGAAAGGGCCAGCTCCACCCCCATGCCATGAGGCCCCAAGTGTCTCGTCACTGCGGGCCCGAAACTGACTGTCCAGTGGCCTCTGGAGGATGGCAGCCACCAGGCCGTCAGGAGGAACAGGCCAAGGC